GAGCACTGGCCATTCATTTTCTCCATAGGTACTTCAGAGCATAAACAGTTGAGCGTGGTGCTAGCAACAACGAGGTTCTGGGTTCGATTCCCAGGGAATGCATGAACTAATCAAATGCATTCATTAAATGCAATGCAAGTTGCTTTGGATAAAAGCATCTGTCAAATGCATAAATGTCTAAATTCATAAACAGTTGTAAGCCTTGGAGCAATGTTACATGTTGACATTATAAGGTAACCCTACATAACCTACATGCATAAAATCAGCACAAGCATCCACTTGAGCTGTGTTAAAAAATTCAGTCTGTCTCTATTCAGGATTTGGCTCTTTTGCTTCTGTGAAGTTCCTCGTCATTCAGTAGATCTCATGCCAGGATGCCAGAAAACGTTTTGTGGAGTCCTCCTGCTTCAGTCAAATCTGTTAATGGTCCTCTGGCATCCTGCCTGAATGATGAAGCCACATCAGGTGAATATGTGCTGTGTCAACAGCGCCTCGTGGGAAATGCACTGAATGGTGCACAAAGCACAAACCCTGCTGCCAGCGCAGGAGATCAGGAGAGGAAGATCCGGATATCAACCTCAAACGTGAAACAGTACATCACTGCAGTCATTGCACTGAATTGAATTTGACAGATTTACTAATCAGTTTGTGTTTCATAAGAGAGGCTTAATAGCTGCCCACTGTTTTTTTTATTCACCACATGATGCAACAAAAAAGTCTCATTGTCACATGAGCTCATCTTATTGCATGTGAGATTATGATCTGTGCAGTCGTACTGGTTTATTGTGTGATCTTAGTGGGAGATGTTCAGATCACTTTTACTGGGTTCATGTTGAAAGCAATGTACAGTTCACAGATTGCAGATTCTCCGGCTCATGGCTCACGCCTGTCCTCCATTCAGCCTGTATTTAGTGTGTCACTCGTTCAGGTCTTTAAGTGCTCTCACACGTGTGCCGTCTGTTTGATGCACAAAGCTGCATATTTTCCAAATCGACTAGGCAGAGCAGCCTGTTGATCTGAAGAAAGCCTGAGGTTGATGGTCATGTCCACCAAAGCTGAAGTTAGGATTCATAAGTTACATTTATTCTGCAAATCAGTTCTTTTGAAATGCACAGTTAATTTGTGTCATCACTCAAAATTGTGAAAAAAGCAAAAAGTCAGAAAGTTGATTTCTGCATATATTCTGTTCATTGAAGTCAAGTCCTGAAATTATGTAAATTTCCCTTAAACAAATACGAAACATGACTAATTTTCAAATAGTATTTATTTCTGAAAATGAACCAGGAGTATGGGGAGAGTGGGGGACGGTTGCAGGGGCAGCGTATTTCTTCAATCAGGAATGAGTTCCAGTGATGATATTCATACAGCACATGCTCGATTAGCCCCTCATGCTTCCTGGAAGAAATCAGCCACATGTGACCATTCCTAATACAAAAAATCTTTTTCATGGTAAAAAAGTATTTTTTTAAAGGTCAGATTTTTTTGTCATAGTGTCTAAGTTGTTTGTGTGAAGCATTGTAAAGCCATAACATTTTAATTATGCTTCACATGGTTGCAACCGTCCCAACATGCTGTCCCTTACTATAACGTTGATTTAAAAGCTTGCCATAACATTACATAATTGTATTTTTCTTGGATTAAACAAGAACCCCTTTCAATAGTTAGGTATCTCTCCTTTTAAGTAAATCTAGGTTAAAAATCTACTTACTTGAAAATGTTTTTCCATTGACTATTCTTTGGTTTTATCAGCCAATTTAACGTATTGAAGACTTAAATTAAATTGCAAAATGATATTCAAGAATGATTTTGATGACATTTTAATGAATGATGCAACCGTTTCCTGTTGGTGGGGTCAGTTGCAACATTTCAATTTGTCTATTCAAGTATAAATTGGACGTATATTATCATATGTAGACATGTTGCAGCAATGTAGGTGAGTAGCTGATAGATGTGGTTTTGTCATATTCAAGTTTTGGCTTTGTAATGTAAACAGTCTCTGAGAAACTAAAGGAAATGCAAAA